ACCCCGAGGCTGGAACAACCGCGGAGTACCGACATGATCGTACGGAAACCTCCCAAACATCCCCCCACTCTCATCGGGCGGGCACAGAAGGGTGGGGCTGGGGCAAAAAGGTGGGGCTGGAAGGAAAACCACTCCGAACGGCCCCTGGGAGAAGAAAACGCGCCAAACGGGAGCATCCGGCTGGGCCCGTTCCCCAGCCCCGCCTTGGGATAACCCTCCCTCTACGACCCCCCGGCATCTGCCGCCGGCGTCGTCGTCCTCTCGCGGCCCGGCGTCGGCCTTCGCCGCCGCCGCGGCGGCGGCGGCCGCCGCCACGGGCTCCGCGCGGAGGGGAACCCTGGAAGGCTCCGGCGTGCGGGGGAGCCCCACAAACGCCTCGCGGCGGCGCGGGAGACAGGAGAGAGGGGAGGAGGAGGGGGAGGAGGAGGAGGAGGAGGAGGAGGAGGAGGAGGAGGAGGAGGAGGAGGAGGAGGAGGAGGAGGAGGAGGAAGAGGAGAAGGAGGAGGACCACGACGAAGGAGAAGAGGAAGAGGAGGACGAAGAGGAAGAGGAGGCAGAGGTGAAGGCGGAGGCGGAGGAGGCGGCGGCGGCGGAGGGATTGCGGGGGAAGAGGACGAGGAGGACGAGGAGGACGAGGAGGACGAGGAGGAGGAGGCGGCGGCGGCGGAGGAGGGATTGCGGGGGGAGGAGGAAAGAAGGAGGCCGAGGAGGAGGAGGAGAGGAGAAGGAGGAGGAAGACGAGGAGGAGGAGGAGGAGGAGAGGAGGAGGAGGAGGGGGAGGAAGAGGAGGACGAGGAGGAGGAGGAGGAGGAGGAGGAGGCTGAGGAGGCGACGGCGGCGGCGAAGGAGGGATGGCGGAAGGAGAGAGGAGGAGGAGGAGGAGAGGAGGAGGAGGAGGAGGAGGAGGTGGGGGAGGAGGAGGAGGCGGCTGAGGAGGCGACGGCAGAGGAAGGATTGCGGGGGAAAAAGGAGGAGGAGGAGGAGGAGGAGGAGGAGGAGGAGAAGGACGAGGACGAGGACGAGGACGAGGACGAGGAGGAGGAGGAGGATGACGACGACGATAAGAAAATGGAGGCACGCCACAGGAGATGCACAAAACGGAGAGGGGGTGAGCGGAGGAGGACGACGAATGAGGAGGGGGCTGGATGAGCAGCAGGAGGCGGAGAGGGAGGAGGAGGAGCAGGAGGAGAAGCAGGAGGAGGAGCGGGAGGAGGGGGACAGGGAAGGATGAGGGAGCGGGGACCGAGGTGGGGGGAGAGAGGGAGGGGGAGGCTGACTGCTCCCGCTCCCCTACGCATGGTCCAGTAGTACTATTATGCTGCCCTGCCGCGAGGGAGCAGGGGAACAGGGAAGATGATGAGGATGAAGAGAGGGAGGGGGGCGGAGGGAGGAGGGAGGAGGCGGAGGAGGCAGGAGCAGGAGGGTAAGGAGGAGAAAGAGAAGAAGAAGACGAAGAAGAAGAGCACCCCCGACTGCATCGTCATGTCTGGCATGCTATGGGTCTCATCGTTTCCACCCCCGATCTGGCCTCCCTCAACACGTGTTCGCGAGCCCTCCTCTTTTGTTTCCTTCCTCGTGCCAAATGTCGCACCACATTGCAGCTTCCAGTGCAAACTTTGTGGGCGAAGAATGGCAGGACCACATACCAGGCACCCACAAGTTGAAGCTCAGCACTACAACCGACCCCTGGGCATTCGTTGTTCAATCGATCATCAGCACCAACCTTCGATCGATCCTGGGTCATTGATCCTGGATATTCGATCTTACTTAGATCCTAGATCTTCAAGTCCTCTGACGAACTCGGATGAGACCATCAACTCTGTCGAATGGAAGTCTCAAACGAACTCGACCTCTGGCAGCATGACGTGGGACCAAAGATTTAGTTCGGAAGAAATCCCAAAAGAAATTGCACGGTTCGGGTAGGCTGAGAAATCGCCAGGTCACCTTGAAAGGCGACCTGAATTTCTCGAAGAAGCCCCGGGCGACATGCGACTTTCTGTTCCGTGCACCACCTGGCCATTATAATACTAAAGGGGCGACGGGCGCACCAGATGGTCGCAAGCTGATCACTGCAACATGCTACTGGAGCCCCGCGCAGCGCGTCTTGCGCGAGCTCTGCGGTCCTGCATCCAGGGGGGTTGTGCTCCGGTGGGCTCTGGCCGCACACCTCACCAGCAGCCCGCTGCGCCGCACAGCTCAGAGGTCCGACTGAGCCAACGGCAGCTCTCCCGCCCAGCTCACGTCGAAACAGCACACACGCCATGAACACAAAATGCCGGCGCTCCGCACGGATTCTTTGCATCCGCGCTGGGTACCAGCCTCGAACGTATCCCTATCCCTAAGATTGACACGCCAAAAGGCGATGACAATCTTAGGGATTCGCCTTCAAAAAATAAGGGAATCCCTAAGATTGGCATCGTGATGAGGAGGTGCCCAGCATAGGGATAGGGATACGTTCCAGGCTGGTAAGCTGGGCCCCTCGGGCGCGATCCGCGCGCGCTGGGAGGGGGGTCCAGCGCAGGCCCAAGAAAGCCCCTCTGAGCGCCAGCACATCGCGGTTGTGCCGATCGTCGTCTTCCTCCGGCAGATCCGCGCAGGATCGGCCCCCCGGGCCCCTCCCAGGGTCCGTCCCCGGCCCGCTTTTCGAGGCGAGTCCAGCCGTGGCGACGAGAAGCCTCCCGGGGGGGGGGGCTCAACGAAGGACGAAAAAAAACGCCGGGAGAGAGCCGCCGCCTCTACCGGCCGGCCCTCCTCCGAGCCAACAGGCTCGTCTCCTCCCCGTGCGAGGGGCAGCGCCACAGTCCACCGGCAGAAGCAGGACGCGCGCGAAGGGTGCAAGGGCCTCGGAATCTCGAGGCTTCTCGAGGGGGGCGCGGCCAGCGAACGTGGCCGAGGGTGAAGCGAAGGGACAACGGTGCAAGGGTACGCTTGGAAAGGTTGCCCAGCCATCTCACGCGGGCTGGCGGTCGGGGGGACCTGCTCAGGGCCAGCAACATCGACCTGGAGTCGGCGATATATATATATATATATATATATATATATATATATATATATATATATATATCGCCATGTAGATCGGCGATGAGCGCCGGATGGCGAAACCGCTGGATCGCGGGCGGGGTGGGCAATCGGGCCCCCATCGGCGATGAAGCGGGGAATTGGGGATGGACGCATGCCCCCTGAGGAGGAGGAGGAGGAGGAGGAGGAGGAGGATGCAGCGCCCAACGTTGCCCCTGACTCGGGCATCGGCTCTCGGGCCTTAACTCGGGCCCCAGGCGGCCAGTCGGGGCCGCTCGGGGCACCCCCCCCAGAGCGCTCGCGGCGAGGCACAGCGGCTGGAAATGCACCCCGAAGCCGGAAAGGCCGAAGGGCACCCCGCACGCTTCCCGAGGCCTAAGAATCCACCCTGAGGGCCCCCCCTGGGAGAAAGGAAAAAAAAAAAACGACATACACATAAACTATGAGCGCTCCGCGCGTACTTCTTGCATCCGCGCCGGACCCCCCCCTCCCTGGCGCGCGGAGCGCGCCAGGGGCGGAGGCGGAGGCGCCGCTGGGGGGCCCCAGCGCGGATCCAAGCAGTCCGCGCAGAGCGCCAAGAGCTTATTGTTGTGGCGCTTGTCTTACGCCACGAAAAAATATACACAGACACCCTCCGACGAATTTTGCATGTACCTCCCTGTGTATAAAGCCGCTGGCTCCCAGTGGTGACTTTTATGCACCGCCGGCCCTCCCCATGGGGCCCAGGAAGAATCCAGTGGAGGGTGTCTACTCCAGGTGTCTTAATGAGCGTCGGGGGGGCGTCACCCCCGCCGACAGCCCCACATCGACCCCCGTCGCGGGTTGCCACCGCGCGGAGCGACGACGAGGCGAGGCTGACCCCCGTCGGGGGGGCCCCCCGCGCTTAGTAAGAAACTCCGAGTATGTGTATTTTGGGGGGCGTTTTCCCTCGAAAGAATGGGCACCCCAACGCTCACCAACGCTCCCCCGGGGCCTCCGAGGCCTCCATTTCTACGCCCTGTGGCCTCCAGGATGCCCAGGAACCGATCCGCGCTCGCTCGGGCAGGGCTCCGACACGCACCGCAATCCTCAAAATCAGGGGGAAAAAACACACAGACACAATCAATCGTCGATTCTCCGGAAAATATGGGAAAGTATGGGAAGTGGGGGGGGAAGACGAAAACCCAGAAAATATGGGAAAATATGGGTAAAACTTTTATTTGTGTGTGTGTGTGTGTGTGTTTATTTGTGTGTCCCGGGGCCCCTCCACAAAAGACAGCCCCGAGACCGCCCCCGAGGCCACCCCGAGGTCCCCCCGCAGCGCGTGCCCGCCCGCGGCCCGGTCGGCGGGGCGCCCCCCCCCCCGCGGGGGCGGCGGGGCGCGCCTGGCGCAGGGCGGCGCCCGCGAGGAGCGCGAGCGCCGCGGAGGGCAGCGCGGCCGAGCGGCGGCGGGCCATGGCTCTGGCTGCGGGCCCTGGCCTTCGGTCGGGCAGGGCCTCCTTGAAGGGACCCTGGGACACACAAATAAATACACACAAATAAAAAGATTCCCCATATTTTCCCATATGTTCTGTTTGTTTGTCTTCCCCCCCACTTCCCATATTTTCCCATATTTTCTAGGGAATCGCCGATTAATTGTGTCTGTGTGTTTCTTTCCCTCTTGACTCCTGGAGGCGGAGCTTGGAAGGAAGAAAAAAAAACACGATGGGAAGACTGAAAAAATGTCATCGAAAGAGATCCAAAAAAAAGCTCAGAGATAGGCTGGAAAGGGATCGAAACAGCGTCCCCAGATTATGCTTTGACTGCTTTTGAATAGTCCTCCTGCAGAGGGACATGCCCGACTGAAACCCTGGCCCCCCCCCCCCGAGGCAGCGCGGCATCGGGCTGATTTCAGTCGGCCCGTGTCATGAGGATGCGCGATAAGGATACAAGGGCCTTGGAAGGCCACGTCGACACCTTGCGAGCGGGGCGCGGCCAGCGAAAGCGGCCAAGGATGGGCCGAGGAGGCAAGGATGCAAGGGTACCCTTGGGAAGGTTGCCCAATCCATACTACGCGAGTTTGACTGTAGGGCAGGATCAGCCAGCATCGCGTCGGGACATCGGATCGTATCGGAAGATGCGTATTGAATCGAGCTGCATCGGCCAGCAGGGTCAGAAGAGGACCCCCAGTAGGGCCAGAGGGGCCAAAAGCATTGGAGCTCCTTGGGCTTTTGAGCGATTTGGGTGCTTTCGCCTTTGCGGGCTTCCCTCGGCCTCCAAGATGGCCAGAAGACGCCCCCAGAAGGCTCCCTATCAGCGGTGGACAAGCCTCCCTTTCGTAAACCACCCTTTAGTGAAAACGGCCTAGGGCCGAAACCGACGGACCTGGACCCGCAAAGATGACGGCCGCGACGCCCTCTCGCGACCCGAAAACGGCCAATTCGCTAATCGACGTGTCAGGGTAAGAGGTCTATCAACCTCCGACTAGTGGCACAAGAATGCTCCCAGACAGCCTCAAGGCGGCCCAAGAGGGCCCCCAGACGGCTCAGGACGGCCCGAAGAGAGCCCCGAGCTGACCCCAAGAGAGCTTCCAGAAAGACCCAAGACGGCCTTGGGGAGAAGTCCTCGACGGCACAAGATAGCCCAAGGAGGGCGCTCCGCGCGGATTTCTTGGATCCGCGCTGGGGCCCCCTGGCGGCGCCTCCGGCGCCGCCCCTGGCACGCTACGCGCACCAGGGAGGGGACTCCAGCGCAGATCCAAGAAATCCGAGCGGAGTGCCAAAACTTTCTGTTTATGGCGTTTTTTCTTCTTCGAGAGAAAGGCCAGACGACGATGACGAGAAACGAGCCCCCGACACGACGCGGAGAGATTCACACGTTGCGGCTCTCACAAGCCTCGGGACACGAGGTGCCACGAGTCACGACGTCCTACGCGCTCCCAACATGCTGGGCTGGCACGGCGCTGGGACTTGCCGCCGCCGGCCAGGTATTGGAATCGAATTGGATCGAGCCGGGCGCACTCGATCCCAAGCAAGATCCATCGGATCGAGATCGACCCCGAAGGGGCCTCGGAGGCCCCCCGCCCCCCTCGAACTCCAGTTGGCGTCCAACACTCGTTCCAAGAGCTCCTGCGGGAGCGGGTTTTCGGAGCCCCGTGCGTTGACCAGCCCGGGTTCTGGATGGGGGGCGCCGGCGCCGAACAGCCAGCCCCCAGACTGGCTGGCATCCTGCTAGTCTGCCTGAATCTGCAGGCGACGAGAACGGACGAAGTCCGACAGATGGCACGAGCTGGCCGGCTCGGGGAAGCCCTGCGCCCGAAAAGTGATGCCGTCTCACTTGATTTGGCGGTGGGCCCGGGGGGCAGGCCTTCTCAGAAGGCGCCGTGGCGTCTCAGAAGCCCCCTGGCCTTCTGAGAGGCCGTCTCAGTCTTCGGAGAAGGCTTAGAAAACCTCTCAGAAGACCAGAGACCAGAGGCCTTCCGGGCCTTCTGAGAAGGCCCGCCGAATCTGCTCTCCCCCCCTGGGCTCGCCGCCGATATCCTTCCACCGCCATTCCGCCGACTCATCATCATCATCATCATCATCATCATCATCATCATCATCATCATCATCATCATCATCATCATCATCATCATCATCATCATCATCATCATCATCATCATCATCATCATCATCATCATCATCATCATCATCATCATCATCATCATCATCATCATCATCATCATCATCATCATCATCATCAGCAGCAGCAGCATCATCATGATGATCATCATCATCATCATCATCAGCATCATCAGCATCAGCATCATCATCATCATCATCATCATCATCATCATCATCATCATCTATCATCAGCAACATCATCATCATCAGCATGATCATCATCATCATCATCATCATCATCCTCATCATCATCAGCATCATCAGCACCATCACCATCATCATCAGCAGCAGCATCATCAGCATCGTCATCATCATCAGCAGCAGCATCATCCGCATCATCATCATCATCATCATCATCATCATCATCATCATCATCATCATCATCATCATCATTATCAGCATCACCATCATCAGCAGCAGTATCACCAGTATCATCATAATCATCAGCAGCAGCCTCGACATCATGAGCATCATCAGCATCATCATTAGCATCACCATCACCATCATCAGCATCATCAGCAGCATCAGCATCAACAACGTCATCATCAACAACATGCGCAACAAATTAATCATACCCATCATCATCATCGTCATCATCATCATAATCATCATCATCAGCAGCAGCATCATCATCATCATCATCATTTCCACAACCATCATCATCACCATCAGCACCACCATCATCACCATCAAACAGCATGAGCATCGTGCTTAGAATAAGTATCAACATCATCATCAGCAGCATCATCAACATCAACATCAGCATCATCATTACTATCAGCATCATCAGCATCACCACCATCGCCATCATCAGAAGCAGCAGCGCATCTTCAGCATCATCATCAGCAGCAGCATCATCAGTATCGGAAACAGCATGCGCATCAAATTATTCACACTCATCATCATCGTCATCATCAGAAGCATCATCATCATCATCATCATCATCATCATCATCATCATCATCATCATCATTTACACAACCATCATCATCACCATCATCATCACCATCATCACCATCAAACAGCATCAGCATCGTGCTTAGAATAAGCATCAACATCATCATCAGTAGCATCATCAACATCAACATCAACATCAGCATCATCAGCAGCATCACCATCGCCATCATCATAAGCAGCAGTATCCTCAGCATCATCATAAGCAGCATCATCATGAGTAGCATTATCATCATCATCGTCATCATCATCATCATCAGCATCATCATCATCCTCAGCAGCATCATCAGCATCATCATCACCATCATCGCCACCACCACCACACGCGCCATCGCCATCACAAGCACCATCACGGCTCAACCAAGCCTGGAGCCACGAGGTGTCGCTCGTGACGGCCTCTCGTGCCCCCGCGAACAGTCGCCACTCAGAACGCTGGGCTGGCACGGTGACGACGGGACCTGCCGCAGGCGTTTCGACCAGCGGGCCCACGATGGAGGCCCTCTTTCCCCCCCCCTCCGCCTCCTCCTCCTCCTCCTCCTCCTCCTCCTCCTCCTCCTCCTCCTCCTCCTCCTCCTCCTCCTCCTCCTCCTCCTCCTCCTCCTCCTCCTCCTCCTCCTCCCCCTCTGTGCCGCACCCTTCGGGGAGGGGCGCGCAGACGGACCTGGGCTCCCCGGCGGCCGCGGCGGGCGAGGCTGCCACCAAAAAAACAACCTCAACAAAGAAACGGCAGGAGGCGCGCTCGAGCCGGAGGCTCTCCGGAGAGAGAGCGCAGGCGGAGGCGCGCCACCCCCCACCTCCCGCGGCCAGAGGGGGGGGCGCGGGGCGAGGCGGGCGGCGAGGCGACTCTCCCAGATCGTCCGGCACCGGCGGCGAACGGAGGCGGCCGCGCACGGGGCTGGGAGTGGGCGCCAGTGGGGGTCGACGCGGCGAAAAAGTCGCGGCGTCGTGGGTCTGGGCCGCCCTCCCGCACGCCCCCCCTCCACGCCCCCCCTTCACCACCTCCCGCCCGACCCCCGCTGCCACCCTCCCGCCCTCCCCTGCGGCGACGCAGCAGGCCCCGGCGACGCAGGCCACGACGACACGCGACGAGGCCCGGCGCCACGAGGCGCGGGCGAGCCGCGCCCCCGGCGAGCCGAGGCGTCGCCGAGGCGACGCCCCGGCGAAGCGAGCCCCGGCAGAGCGCTTCCCGGCGGAGCGAGCCCTGGCGGAGCGAGACCCCGGCGAGCCGAGGCTCTGGCGCCACGAGCCCTGGCGAAGCGAGGCGGGCGCGCCGACGGGGCGAGCCGAGCCTCGGCGAGCCGAGCATGGGCGACTCGGCTCGGGCGCACCGAGCCCCCAAGCGGAGCGGGCCCCGGCGAAGCAAGCCCCGGCGAGGCGAGCCCCAGCGAGCCGAACCCCGACGAGGCGAGACTGCGGCGAATCGAGCCCATGCGCCGCGCCCCCCCCCCGCCCAGCCCCTCACTCTTCTCTTCAGCTGCGGAGGTCAGGGCGCTCTTGGGTCATCGGGCGCACGCGCGGCCAGAGGCGACACGCGCCGACGTTGGCAGGCGCGGCAGGGTCGTCGGCAGGGCGACCGTCGGCGGGCAAACAGCAGTTGCGCTGAGGAGGAGCGCGGAGATGATGTGCAATCAGACGGCACACGTCTGAGGGCATGTCTCAAGATCGAGGCACTTGAGGCACTGAGAGAGGTGCGATAACCCCAGACTCAGGCAGGTGGCGGAGGGAAGAGGGGAAGAAAAGAAAGGGGAGTCGTGCAGGAGGTGGGCGAGGGATGAGGATTAGGATGATGACAATGGCGTGGACGAGGATTTGGACGGGGGTAGCAAAGGGGGCGATGCGATGATGAAGTGGGATGGGGATGAGGCTGATGACGATGATGTGGAGGAGTGGGGAATCAACATGAGGGAGCACGATGAAGATGAGAATGAGCACAGGCGCGAGTCCGAGGAGGGGAAGAAGGAGAGACGACGACGACGACGAAGATTGGCACGATGACAAAGAAGGCCAGAACGCAGTAGCGACCGGGGAGGAGGTTGTGCCGCTGATCATGAGGAAGAGGAGATGACGGAGGAACATGAGCAGGAGGATGAGGAAACGTGGAATGGGACGGAGAAGGAAGAGGAGGAGGGGCATGGTGAGGAGAAAGGAAGGGAGCAAGGGGAGAAAGAGGAAGATACAGAAAACGAGAGGGAGGAGAACAGGGACAATGAGCAAGACACAGACGAGGGGGGGAGAAGAATCGCACCAGGAGGGCCCAGAAGACGCCCAGAAGTCTCCCACCCCCTTCGCCAGGACCGCCTCTTCATCCAGAGCTGCTGCTCATGAATCCCGAGGGCTTAACAAAGGCTAGGGCCCCCTGAGGCCGAGAACTGCCAACCCCGCTCCCCCCCCCGCCGTGATTCTGTTCACGACGCTCGGACCGGACGAAAGGGGGGAATAGCAGGGGAGGCGATCAGCGAATCAGCCCACGCAGACTGTTTCCCGACGCCTCCCAGCGCTGGGCCCTGGGTGCACCAGTACCAAGCAAAGCTCCCGGCGGCGGAGACGGAACCAGCTGCATGCAGCAGTTGTCGCACCCCGCCTCTCCCAGTCTTAGGTCGGGCATGTCCTCCTACAGGCGGATGTTGGCAGAAAACTGAAACATTGTTATTTTATTATTCTATATACATATATATAGGAAGAAGAAGAAGAAGAACAATACAAAAACGGCTTTTGGGGCAGAAAACTGAAACATAGTTATACCAAATACCCCCCAAATACCCAGAAAAAATCACCAGCGAATCGTCCCCAGGCGATGTTTTGACTTGTCTGGGATCTTCCTCCTGTAGGGGGACGTGCCCGACGTACTCCCAGAGCCCCCTCCTGCCCTCCACCCCGCGACGCGAGGGGGCCCGCACCTGTACAGACGCCACCCGGAGGGCCCAGGGTGGCCCTGGGCCAGGCAGCACCCCGACCCCCGACATCCAGTCCACGGGACACCTTCCGCAGGAAGCCCCAGGGACGCAGGAAAGGAAGAAACCGTCCACAGGAAACCCTCCACAGGAAACCCTCCACAGGAAACCTTCCACAAGGAACCTCCCACAAGAAACCTTCCACAGGAAACCACAAGAAACCTCCCACAAGAAACCTCCCACAAGAAACCTTCCGCGGAAACCTTCCACCAGAAACCGTCCACAAGAGACCACGTCCACAAGAAACCCTGAGACCCCAGGACGTCCACTGATGTTTGGTGTGGGAACGTCGCGCTCCCCACAGCAGCACCCTCGAAATCCAAGAAACCCAGGGCACCCTGGAGGGAAGCAGGGTGTTTCTTGGCGTGGATCTCCACTGGAATGTTTTCCCAACGTCGACCCCCACAGGTCACGCACGACCCAATTTCCCGGGACTGGCTCTTCATCCTGGGTTGTGGTGTGGCAGTCCCAAGGCCTGGCGAGGGCCCATAGAGGCCGAAAACAGCCGCGACGACGGCCAGCAAAATGGCGTCGTGCTTTATCCACGACGCGAGGGGGTCTGGGCGGGGGACTCCGCAGACGGCGCAGACGAGACCGAGGACGACGATGATCGGCGGCGGGCCTGAGGGGGAAGTGAGAAGAGGTGGGCCTCCTCAGAAAGCTCGGGAGTCCCCCAGCCTTCTGAGGAGTTTTCCAAGCCTTCCCCGAAGACGCAGAACACCTCTCAGAAAGTCGGAGTTCTTCCGAGAAGCCCCGCCGCCTTCTGAGAACGCCTTCTCCTTGCCAGGGGAAACCACAATGTACCGATACCGCTACTCCCTGGAACTCTCCCGGGATGCATTCTGACCAGGATTTCGAGGCGAATCCAGCGGTGGCGACGAGGGGGTTCCAGAAGGCCCAGGTACGTGTTTTCCTTCTCCACCTCCATCTTCTCCTGTGTCTGTGCGTTGTTCCCCCCTCGCTCGCCGCCGAAATGAGGGGGGGAGAGCCAGGCGCCGCGGGCCCTGCCCCAAGGCGCCGCGACTCTTTTTCGACGCCCCGCCGGCCGGCGGTCTCACAGATCCGCGTTTGCGCCCCACGCCTCCGCCCCCCTGTCAGCCCTCCTCCTCCTCCTCCTCCTCCTCCTCCTCCTCCTCCTCCTCCTCCTCCTCCTCCTCCTCCTATCCATCCTCCGACTGTCATTAGCATGCCTATCATTACTTATGAATTTAATGACTACTAGTATTATCATCATGTGTATCATTATCGATTCTTCTTATTATTTATATTATACGTATTATTCGCATGATTACTGATAGTTGTAGGGTACGCCGCCGCGGGGCAGCAGTCACGTGGTGATTCGTCGAAAACTGCACTTGCGCGCAGATGTCGGGTGACTGGGTCTGAAGTTACTAACAAAGCAGCTTGTCTATACATCAGAAATCAATCACCCTATCATTATCTTACACCAAAACACAAGTCAAACAAATGTTTAGCTATCCTAGCACCCCAGCCGACTACCGCGGACGCTCGCGGCCTGCGCTTCAAGATCTCGCGCCCCCAGGAGGTCTTGCGGCCTCTAGTGTGCCTCTGACGGCCTTTCTTTGCGGCAGCTGGCTCATCTTCTTCCTCTTCGGCCTTTTCCTTGTTGTCGCCTGCTTAATCTTCGTTATCAGCACCAACTGGCGCCGTCTCACCTCTGTCTGGGTTGGCATTCGTATCGGCCGTCTTGCGCTTCTTAGAAGCCCTCTTAAGAGCCTCGCGCTTCTTGACATCGGTCATTCGTCCGCTGCAGCCTTCTAGCGCTTCATGGAAGCCGCCTTTGCTGACTCGTCCGCTTTCTCCACTGCCTACTCTGGTTTTCCTTCTTCGTCGTCGCGGTGATCAGTGTCCTTCATTCTCGACTCCTCTCCTCCTCCGTCTTCTTCGTCGAGGCTCTCGTTTTCTGTCAGAACAATTCCCATCTCAGTAGCAACGTCGCTTGCCGACTCCATTGAAGCAGAATTGTATAGGCTCGCCCCGTCGCGAAGGAGCTGCGACCCAGTCGCTACGTCAGAATCACGGATCAGATTCTGAATCGCCTTCTTCTTGATCTCCCGAGGCGCGAACGTGGCGTCGGCAAATGTTGTCAGCGCATCCTCGAACGATTGACGATCGTGCACGTCAAAAATAGCTGCGACTGCCCCCGCGGTGCGAAGAAGCTCACGGACAGCATCTGCATCGAAGGTTTCTCCTTTAACGGCCTCACCAAACGTTCTGCAGTCACTGGGCCACAATTGGCGATACCTTCGCCGCTTTCTGGTCGGCCGGTGACATCCGATCTTCTCCAGTGGATGCGAGGAGAACCACGGATGCGGCCATGTTCACCAACGCCGCAGACCTACGAGCGGACCTGCGGTCACTGGCCGTCAGCACCTGCGCAATGCTTGGCATCCCCTTCGAGAGCAACGCGACGACAGCAGGATGGAGTAGATTTGGAGGCCTGGAAATTGGCACCAACACCAACACAGGGGGCTGCCTCCACAAGGGGAATCTGATCCTCGATTTCGGTGTTGGTGGTAATATTTCAGTCACCTTGAAGCCAGAATATTACCACCATCACCGAGATCGGGATCTTCTTTCCTCGGTGGAGGCACACCGCCGATACTGGTGTTGGTGTCAACCTTTAGGCCTCCGATAGATGGCGGCATGGAAGAACATCGCCCAGAACCGCCACGAGCTGGCTGACCACGGCGAGCAGCCCCGGCTACGACCACGAGCGCGCCCGACAGCGACGAAGGTACGTCGCGGAATCCACGGCACGAACAAAGTTCCTCGAGCTGGCGGCACCTCCTCCGAGGCGTGGAGAGTCGACAAGAGCAGCAGGCCAGGTTTTCCAGTTCGTGGACACCGAAGAGAGCCTGGCTGTGACCCGAGCCAGCTTCGAAGCGAGCTCAGACGCAACCCCAGACACTGAACCAATGATGGTTGCAATGAGGTCGTGTCCGGTAGCGACCCTTGCCAAGACCTCGATGACTAGATGGCGTGATGACCGCTGATCAGACCTAGTGACATCTGCTGCCAACATGCTTGCGGTCCTTTGGACGTAGCCGTCCGCTCTTTTTGTCGCCACGGCTTTGAGTCGTCGAATGCCCAGCTGTCGCCACTTCATCATCACGCAGGCCTGTGAGAGCTCCAAGAGCACGCAAACGGGTGTACCCTAGAGTCCCCACGGCGCTACAGAGCGAGACTGTCAGAGCAATCGTGCTGGTCAGAAGCTCTCGCATCCATGGGTAACGATCCGCACGGGTCGGCTCTGAACCCCGCCCCTCCGCACACCTCTTCCACTGCGGTGCGGGGAAGGGAGAAGGTTCCAGAGCCGACCCAAGAAATGCTGTTGTTTCTTCATATGCCTCCTCCTCCTCCTCCTCCTCCTCCTCCTCCTCCTCCTCCTCCTCCTCCTCCTCCTCCGCCGCCGGAATTCAAAAACGTCGCAGCTGCGACCCGCGGGCCCAGTCTGTCGCAAAGTGGTGCCCCGAAAAGCGGCTGGCGCTGCAGCCGCGCGCGTGGCACGCCGCCCGGGCGGCGGGCCGAGGGCAGAAAAACCGCGGCGCCGAACCGCCGACGTCGGAGCTCCAGAGGGCACGCGGGAGAGAGTTCACCAGGGCCTGGAGGAGGAGGAGGAGGAGGAGGAGGAGGAGGAGGAGGAGGAGGAGGAGGAGGAGGAGGACGAGGAGGAGGAGGAGGAGGAGGAGGAGGAGGAGGAGGAGGAGGGGAGGAGGGAGGAGGAGGAGGAGGAGGAGGAGGAGGAGGATGAGGAGGAGGAGGAGGGGAGGAGGAGGAGGAGGAGGAGGAGGAGGAGTGTGGGCGGCGCGCGAGGTGGGGGGAAGAGAGGAGGGGCGGGCCCTCCTGGAAGGCCTGGAAGTCCCCCGGGCCCTTCCGGGGAGGCCCTCTCCCTCTCGCCTTCCCCCCCTCGCTCGCCGCCCAAGACGGCACGCGGGAGCGAGCTCACCCGAGGGAGCGCGGAGCACGAGGGCGAGGCTCGCGCGGCTGCGGCGCACGAGCACGGGCGGGCGCGTGGCCGCGAGATCGTCTGCGGAGCATATGAGCACGAGCACGTGACAGTGGCATCCCTACGACGACGCATACAGTCGAGGCGTTGACGTAACGAACCCTAAATAAGGAACGAGGCCCCTATTTTCCATAAGTTGAACTTCGATTTCGTATCGAAAACCTAAGGGGAATCCAAGGCAAATTGCGAAACAATTAAGGAACACGGAGCCCCTCCCCAACGAAAAGGGTTCCTTTTTCAGGGCCCCGACTGTAGGAGCACGGTGGAGGTGTCCGCATCGGCTCGAGTCGGAACGCGGAGGCGGCTCGAGTCGGCGAAGTTCCTCGACTGTTGCGGGATGGTCGAGATGCCCTGGACAGCAGGGCTGGTGCCCGTCATAACTTCAGAATCTCTCCCGGACCCCGAACTGCGCCCGCTAACCCTTACAACACAAGGAATGTCCGAGGGTCCCGCCTGAAGCAAAGCTTCCTTATAGAATGCATCCACCGTATGAGTACCGGCATGAGTACAGGATGATTGTGAGCATAAAATTGAACACGCGACTGGACACGACCAACTACGAGCGTGGGCATGGCTATGACTGGTGCGACTGGCAAGGAGATGGGCGTGAGCATGAGGGCAGTTCCAAATCCGCCGACCCCCGCTTGCCGGGGGTGAGAAGGCGTGTGAGATGACTGGCTGTCCCGCTCCCCTTTTCCCCCTCCCCCAGGGTACAAAATCTCATTATGGGGGGGGGTACGAGCTCTCCGACGCCTCCCTAGACTCCAGAGATTCCAAATCTTCCTCTCGTGGCCTCAAAAACGCTCCAAGACGGTCCCGAATCGCCGAACGATTGGCCCAAAACGCCTACGATGGATCCAAGACGCCCCAAGACGCCTTCGAGACGCCCCAAGAGAGGCTCAAAAATCAATGGTTTTCCCTTGTGGTTTCATTGTTTCTAGGGCCATCGTCTTCTCGAGCTTCCGACGCCCCAAGACGGCCCGTAGATGGGCCCAGGACGGCCCAAGAGGGTTCCAATACGGCACAAAGGGGAGCCCAAGACGGGCAAAGATCGCCCCAAGAGGGCACCAAGAGAGACCAAGAGGGAACATACGAACCGCAAATCCGATCCTTCCGCCCCACGAGGCCCCCCAAAAGCCCAGCGGCCCAGAAGAAGCCCCCAATAAGCCCCAAAAGGCCCCCAAGAGGCCCCAAAGAGGCCGCAAAACGGCCCAAAAAATGCTTCAAAACTGCCCCGCCCGCCACCCACCCGCGACCCATCCGCGGACCACGCGCCCACTCGCGACCCACCCGCGACCCAACCTGCGACCCACCCGCGACCCGCCCGCGACCCACCCGCGACCCACCCCGCGCCTGCCCCCATCACTCTTATCCGCGAGTGCGGGGTGCTACATGTGTTTGTTAGTCCCAGGGCCTGATGACGGTCCCAAGGAGCCGAACCCCAAGCAAAACTCCCAGATGGGAAACAGCATCCTGGCGAAGGACCCAACCATATGCAGATGTCATTGCCGCAGGGCAGGTGGAAAGAAGGGGGCGGCTCCCTATGGGGTCAAGACACGCGCGCGCGAGGTGACCGATGGCGGGGCGCCGCCTGGCGGGCGCTGCCGCTTTGAGTCTTCGGTGGGGCTCCCTGTGGGGCTCCGACACGCGTGAGGGGTGTGCCGAAATTGAACTGGCGGCGCTGTGCGGACGCTGTCGCTGGGGCCTTCGCTGGAGCCCCCTTATGGGGCCACGAAGCGTGTGAGGGGCGTGCCAAAATGGGGCGGCGGCGACGTGCGTGTGCTCCCTGTGTGCGTCTTCGGTGCACCTCCCTAGGAGGCTACGACACGTGCGAGGGGCGAGTCAAGATGGGGCGGTGGCGCCATGCGGGCGCTGCCATTTGGACCTTCGGTGGAGCTCCATATGGTGCGTGTGCGGGGTGTGCCAAAATGGCGTGGTGGCGCAATGCGTCCGCTGCCATCTGGGCCTTCGGCGGGGCTCCCTATGGGGCCGCGAAACGTGTGAGGGGTGTGCCAAAATTGGATTGGGGGGTGGCGCCATGCAAGCGCCGTCATTTAGGCCTTCGGTGGAGCTCTGTATGGGGCGAAGAAACGTGTGAGGGGTGTGCCAAAATGGCGCAGTGGCGCCATGCGTTCGTTGCCCTTTGGGCATTCGGCGGAGATCCCTATGGGGCCACGAAACGTGTGAGGGTGTGCCAAAATTGGTTTGTAGAATGGCGCCATGCGGGCGCTGTCATTTGGGCCTTCGGTGGAGCTCCCCATGGGGCAACGAAACGTGCGAGGGAGCCAAAATGACGCGATGGCGCCATGCGGGCGCTGCCACTTTCGGTGGAGCTCCCTGTGGCCCTATTGGGCAACGAAACGTGCGAATGGTGGCGCGAACAAGCGCTACCATTTGGGTAGTTGGTGAGGCTCCCTGTGGGCCACGAAACGTGTGAGGGGTGTGCCAAAATGGCGTGGTGGCGCAATGCGGGCGCTGCCATTTGGGCATTCGGTGGCGCTCCCTATAGGGCCACGAAACGTGTGAGGGACGTGCAAAAATGGCGCGGTGGCGCCATGCGGGCGCTGCCATTTGGGCCCACAATTGAGCTCCATGTGGGGCCACGAAACGTGGGTGTGCCACAATTGCGCGGTGGCGCCACGCGGGCACTGCCATTTGGGCCTTCGGTAGAGCTCCCTATGGCGCGACGATTCGTGTGAGGGATGTGCCAAAATTGCGCGGTGCCAAAATGGCGCGGTGGCGCTATGCGGGCGCTGCCACTTTCGGTGGAGCTCCCTGTGGCCCTATTGGGCCACGAAACGTGCGAGGGGTGTGCCACAAAAGGGTGGTGGCGCCAAACAAGCGCTGCCATTTGGGCATTCGGTGAGGCTCCCTGTGGGCCGCGAATCGTGTGAGGGGTGTGCCAAAATGGCGCGGTGGCGCAGTGGGCCTTCGGTGGAGCTCCCTGCGGGGCCACGAACCGCGTGAGGGGTGTGCCAACATTGCGCGGTGGCGCCACGCGGGCGCTGCCGTTCGGGCCTTCGGCAGAGCTCCTTTAGGGGGCGACGAAACGCGTGAGGGATGTGCCAAAATGGCGTGGTGGCGCCGTGCGGGTGCTGCGATCTGAGCCTTCGGTGGAGCTCCCGATGGGGCCACGAGACGCGTGAGGGGTGCGCCGACATGCTTTACATGCGGAAGGCAGAGGCAGGGCCCGGAGGAGGGAGGAGGGAGGGGGGAGAAGGAAGGAGGAGGAGGAGGAGGAGGAGGAGGAGGAGGAGGAGGAGGAGGAGGAGGAGGAGGGAGGAGGGAGGAGGAGGGAGGAGGAGGAGGAGGAGGAGGACGCGGGGCGCTGCTGATCCAAAACGAGGACCCAACTCAACACAGGACGGCTGGCAAAGACCGATCGTCGGAGGGCGAGGCGCACCAAACGGGCGAGAAGAGTCGGAGGAGAAGCGCCAGGCCGACGGCGCCATCCCGACGAGGGCCGCCTCACGCGGCGCCCGGCTTCCACTGCCCGCGCCCGGACTCGGGTCTGTAGATGAGCTTGCTCTCCTCGGGGGGGGGGGCAAGCAGCTGCGCCCTGCGCCGGGATGCCTCGCGGCTGCTCTGCGGGAGTGGCTGCCATCAGGGACGGCAGCTTCTGGGAGGTCCGAGCAAGAGAGCGACGGAGGGCGAGCAGAGGCCCGGTGGAGGGGCCAGACGCAGCCGGGGATTCAGAGCAGAGCGGAGCGGCAGGCACCCCACTGGGCTGGGCGGTGCCTCGGCCACGGATATATGCGGGCGCCTGTGCCGAGTCCAGCCTCCCCGAAGCTGCTCCCCAGCCTCCCGGGAGCTCTGCGAGGCTTTTTCCTCGGCCAGCCCGCCGGCACCACGGCTGTGGCCGTCGAGCCGGCGGCTCCCGCCTCCCTTTCCCTCATCTCCCTCCTCCTCCTCCTCCTCCTCGTCCTCGTCATCCTCCTCCTCCTCGTCATCCTCCTCCTCCTCGTCCTCCTCGTCCTCCTCCCCTCCTCTTCCTCCTGCTTGCAGAATCCTGCAAAATCCTGCAAGACCCTGCACCCAAGCCCGGGTCCACGCGAAGCATCCTGCAGGATCCTGCAGGATCCTGCACCCAGACCCGGGTCAGCGGGAGCCTGGCCCTGCAGGATCCTGCAGGATCTGGCGTTCTGGCTGAACCCCGTTTGCATAAGGCTCCCGATTGGCCGGGCAGCGGGTCTCTCTCCGGGGGCTGGAGATGGCAGGCTGGGGTGGGAGGAGCAGCGTCGCCACGGCGAGAGGGCCACGGAGAGGAGCGGGAGGGCAGGGCAGGGGGTCCCTGCCCCCGCCCCCGGCGACGGCGGCGGACATAATTACCCAAGGCGCACGCGCGCGCGGAGAGAGGCGTGGAGGGGGGAGAGCCAAAAGCCAACCCCGAGTCCGAGCCTCTGTTTGTGGAGGGGCCCTGGGACGCACAAATAACTACACACGAATAAAAAATATCCCCGACATCTTCTCCCATATGTCCTGGGTGTTTCTGTATTCCCCCCCTCGCTTCCCATATTGTCCCCTATCTTCTGGGGAAGCGAGGCTCAATTGTGCCTGCGTGTTTTTGCCTCTCCTGAGTTCGACGAGCCACCCCGTCCCCCTCTCCGGCCCAGGCGCTTCGCCCCGCAGGAAGCCGCCCCGCGGGCCTCGAGGAGGAAGAGCGGCCGCGGGCAGCGGCCCTCGCCACGCTCTCGGAGTTTCTTGCGGGGGAGTCGGGAACAGCTCCTGGCCTTGGAGGCCTGGGCAGTGGGCACCAACACCAACGCAGGGAGTTGCCTGCCACAGGGGGAAGTCAAGTCAAGTCAAGCACGCCCTGCACCAGACGGTGCGTGAGCAGGGGGGAAACGTACAGGAAACAATCACCCAATGCAGCCAGAATGCCTTCAGCTTCCGGCCCAAGCCTTCACCGCGCGCTCCCACGCTCTAACTCGAGCTGCACCACCGTCATGGTGGAAATAGGCAGCGAATCGCTCGCGGGAGCCGGCAACCTTGAGCCGGCAACCACAGGGGGAAGATGATCCAAAAATTTCGGTGCTGGTGGTAATAGTTCGGCCGCCCTGGAAGCCATAACATTACCACCGTCGCCAAGATCAGGATATCTTCTTCCCTCGGTGGAGGCACACCGCCGAAACTGGTGTTGGTGTCAACCTCTAGGCCTGCGACCTGGAGCTCTCTCCCGGCGGGCTGCTTGCCAGCCGCCGCGCTCTGCCGAGGGAGGGGTCCGAGTGCTGCTGGGATCGTCTCGACCTGTCACCCGAGGCCCGAGCCTGTGGCGCGAAAGCCACGGAGCGCCACCACACACACACACACACACACACACACAAACGAAACACACTCACACACACACACACACACACACACACACACACACACAAACAAACAAACAAACAAACAAACAAACAAACAAACAAACAAACAAACAAAACACGCGTCACAAACAAATCTCCATGGGCCACGAGGTGGTTGCCGAGGCGCCTCCTGCTCCCAGCCCCAGGGTTGACTCCTCTCGCTTCGCGGGGTGCACGTCCGGAGCAGGTGCAGCCCAGTCGTTGCGGGGCCTCTTGGGAGCTTCTTTGTGGCCTCTTGGAGGTGTCTTGGGGTCTTCGTGGAGCCTCTTCTGCACTGGGCTTCTTTGGGGCCTCTTGGGGGCGCTTGGGCCGTCTTGGGGCGCTCTTGCGGCGTGTAGCCCATTCAGAGGCCGGTCTGGGGCCTCTCGCGGCCGTTTTGGGGCCTCTCGCGGCCGTAATCGCCGCTGTGGAAAAGTGTTCACATGTTGAAGGTGTGGGCGTTGGTTGGCGTGACCTGCTCGGCTGCCGCGCGTGCGTGCCGCTGCGTCCTGCAATCCCCAGGGCTTCTGGGCGGCCTCATGGGGGGCTCTTGGGAGCCTCTTGAAAGCCTCGTGGGGGCTCCTTGGAGCGTCTTTGGGGCCGCTTTAGGGCCTCTTAAGGCTTCTTGTTGACGTCTTGCGCTGGCTTGGGGCGCTCTTGCGCCGTCTGGCCCCTTCGGAAGCCATCTTGGAGGCCTCTCGTGGCCGCCTTAGGGCTCTAGTGGAGTCCTCTTGGGCCGTCTTGGGGGCCCCTTGGACCGTCTTGGGGGCCTCTTTTGGCCGTCTCGCGGCCCTCTTGAGGAATCCTGGGGCCCCTTTGGGGGCCTCGTTGGCCGTCTTGAGGTCTTCTTGGAGGCTGCTTGGGCCGCCATGGTCCTCTGAGAGCCGAAAAAAGCGAGAACGCTAAAATCTTTCAAAAACCACAGGAAAACCAATGATTTTGGCTCCTGGAGGCGCTCTTGCGAAGCCCTCTTGGGGGCCTCACGGGCCCTCTTGGGGCCATCCAGGGCCGTCTTGGGGCTGCCTTGGGCCGTCTTGGGGCCATCTTGGGCCATCTTGAGGCCCTCTTGGAGTCCCAAGAGGCCCCAGAGGCCCAAATCGTCGATGTCCTATGGCTGCTAACAGGTTTTGAGAGCCCGAGGAGGGGGCCACCACCCTGGCACGGCGGAGTGGCGCGACTCCAAGGGGGGGGTCGGGGGGGAGACATAATAATGTAAAGCTACACAACATGTAGCAATTAGTCCACGATCGAATACAAAAGGTACGTTGCATTATCGCCTCCCCAGAAAATGCTGCCGTTCAGCACGTCGCTCCCGAACGTGGATTCATTTGCTGCGCCGCACCGCCGACCCCTTGGGAACCCGGGATGCCTCTCTTCGGCGGAGGGACCCAGGCATCCTCGCGTTAGGTCGGGCATGTCCCTCTACAGGCGGATTTGGGACGAAAAATCAAAAATGCTCAACAAACAAACGAACACACACACACACACACACACAACAAACAAACAAACAAAAAAACAAAAAAAAAAAAAAAAAAAAAAAAAAAAAAAAAAAAAAAAAAAAAAAAAAAAAAAAAAAAAAAAAAAAAAAAAAACAACAACAACAACAACAACAACAACAACAACATTTTACCCGAACGCTCAGTGTTCTCACCAGTGCCAGGGTTTCATGCGACGCCAGCCAATACCCCCACTTGTGGGGGGGCAGTGCAAGCTCTACCAAATATCCACACGACTCTTCGCCACCACCCACACCCAGCTTCCCGCCCTATGACGTTCGGACACTTCACTTCGTGGCCTGCGGACGACCGTGGCTACTACACTGGCGTGGAGTACACACCCACAGAAGTTGTTAAGCCTACGTTCGTACACCCACAGAAGTTGTTAAGCCTTGTTAACCCACAGAAGTTGTTAAGCCTTCCACAGAACATCTGTTGCATATGATGCATATGGTACATGATACACATGATACACATGATACGTACTCACAAGATAGTTGAACACATCTTTAGGGCAAATTCCTGAGGGATGTGGGAATACACAAGAGAGAGAGGATATGGTTGTCCCGATGGTTGTCTCGATGGTTGTCCCGATGGTTGTCCTGATGGTTGTGGTTGTCCCGATCGTTGTCCCGATGATTGTCCCGATGGTTGTCCTGATGGTTGTGCTTGTCCCGATCGTTGTCCCGATGACTGTCCCGATGATTGTCCCGATGGTTGTCCCGATGGTTGTTCCGATGGTTGTCCCGATGGTTGTCCCGATGGTTGTGAGCGATGCCGGATCCTCACGCCCCCCGCCGGAGGTGGAGGAGGAGGAGGAGCAGGACAAGGAGGAAAGGAGAGAAGAGAGAGGAGGGGCGGGAACGGCGCTTGCACGCCCACCCACCGTCTTTTCCCCGCCGCGGCTCTAAAGAGACGAGTTCGTGCGCTCGTCATCTTCTGGCACACGCCCGTCCCTGATGGCACGGATGGGGCGCAACGCTGCCAGCTGGGCTCCTGGCAGAAATACCAGCGTTCTGCACTTTGACAAGCGTCTCTTTGGAAGAATACTGCAGTAGCCACATCTTTGCGACCTGATCTGTCACATACAGTGGTGGATCCAACTGTCGGAGCGCCCCGCATAATTTGAAAGCTGTATTATACTCGATGCCCAGGTGGCGGATGGCAGAACCGTGCTGCTCCTCCAGCTCCTGGGCGCTAGAAATACTACCTTGCCAGGCACAACCCGATACTTGCCCCACCAAGTCTTGCACGCCTGGTGACTGACCTGGATACCCTTTGCAACGAGCGCCTGATGCAAATAATACGGGCTCTCGCAGTCGGCCAAGGGAGGCCGCGACAGCTCTGGGCCATACTGGTCGTCAAGGGCTTTCGCCGACAAAGCCATGACCCATCCAAGAACACAGGCGATACCTTGATCCGAGATGGCTACGGATGTGACAGTGATCAGTCGGAGGCTTCCTGGGGCCGCTTGGGGTCCTCTTGGGGAAGGGGGGAAGCCTCCTGGCGCCGCTTGGGGTCCTCTTGAGGGGCTTTGGGGGGCTTCTTGGAAGCATCTTGGGGCCTCTTGGGGGCTTATTGGGTCCTCACGGCGGGCTCTTGGGGCCTCTTGAAGGCCTCCTGGGGCAACCTATGGCGCAACCAGTAGGGGGACGTTTTATTCTCGGCGGCCGAGGGCGCAACCTATGGCGCAACCAATAGGGGGACG